GTCAGATTTTTTTTTCTTACTGTCTGTTAAACTGGCTGTTTTCCTCTTTTCCTAAAATGGAATTCTGTTCTGGCCTGTGAGAGATGTCTTATGCTATCTCATCCACAGTTTGATGGTTGAGAGATATCCTAGTAAGTGTATCCTACCTGAGTGAACCCAGGTAACAGAATTAACATGAATTGAAATTCCTGTGCCCAAGTCTGGTAGACAGTAGGTGGTTAACCATCAAGGAAGGGTCAAGTGCTTCTTACCATGGCATTGCGGTGGGCAACCCTGGCCACGGCATTTGCGGTGGGCGATCTTTATTCTCAACTTACTTCCAGTTCCTATGTCTCTGCCCCTGTCTGGGTGGGAGGGACCTATATAAACCATGCCTACTGATTGTGGCAATTGTTTTCCTCTCCAGTTCTAACTCCTTATGACTGCATAACATATGGAAGAATCTGTAAAAAGAGAACATCTAAGAAGAAATCTTAAATATATTCTGCGACCTCAAAAAGCCATTTCCTTGACCCAAATGATTGCTATGGTATCCATGTGTCTTTATGTAATGTGCCTAAGTATACAATGTAAGGACCTTAAACAACTTCTTGGGATTATAATGCTGGGCTTCTAGGTAATAGCTAGGGTTAATTCTCCATTTAGTCCATTGATAAAACATTAACAAAAATTACAACTGCCTTTGTACAATAATAATTAAATGCAGTAAGAAATATTCAAAAAGTCTCTGAATACTCACTAAGATGTCTTTCTGAACTCAGTTCCTGCTCGGTGAGGAGTCACAAGGTGTAACATGAGAACTGAATCAACCAACATTTCTCTGTTAAGCTCTACATAAGGTGTCCACTGCTAAGGAACATGCATTCTATATTTTTATATCTTCCAACAAAAATGCTAACAATAAAGATGCATCTTGCACAGCACACTGATTAGACAGATCTAAGTCAGAGCCATACCCATCACCTTTACTTCTGCCTCGTTGCCTGAACTCTCACCATTAGAATCTCCCAGCTTTTCCAGGTGATTCCAGGGCAGGTTGTACAGATGGCACCACAATGGAAACATCTCCAGCCACCATCTCCTAAGGCTGACCATGGTGATTAAAAAAATATTGTACCCAATTCTTCAGGGAGGTTTGACTATAGGTAAGAAATATCAGGGCCTTCTGTTTTGGGTCAGAGTTGAGGTTTCCAGGGCTTCGAATCCAGTCACTGAAAACGTACACAGAACAGGACGCAAGGACCTTTCATGAGCTTTGGTCATCCCTGATGCCAACTGACTGCCCTCCCGAATTCTCCTGTGAAATCTTTTCATAGTGTAGGACAGACAGAGAATCTCTGTTGATCTCTACTGTAGGGTCCAATTTGGGCTTATTGCGTTTGTTTTATGAAGGCATGTGTGACTTCTCCCAGATGTAAACACCTGAGAGAGGCTCTGCAGGCTGAGTCCGGTGGCATGGAGAGATTTCTCTTCCCGCTCTAACACTGTACTCATCCTTTGGGAGTTGTACAAACCTTGATCACTTCTTCTCGTAGTGCTCACTGGTGCAAATGTTTTCCGAATTCAAGTTAATACATATACTTTGAGATACTAGGGAGGTTCTGCTATTTCCTGGACTGGGCAACGTCTTCTTTGAAGGAAAGAGAAGTAGCTCTTTGGTAAGTCCTGTCCAGGGCACCCCTCTAAATGAGGTGATACACTGGTCTGGCGCTGAGAGAACGTCAAGCAATGGCAGTAAAATGAGAGGAACGCTGTTTAAGCACAAGAACACCTCTGCATAGACTTGATTTCCCTAATATCTCCGGTTCTATGGGCACAATGACTGTTAGTTAATTAAAAGGTATATTTACAGACATGGGTGCATGAAATGGCAACTGTGACAGCATAAGCACGGAAACGCTGAGCTTCAGGGAAGGGGAGGCCTGAGATGAGACGAGCTGTGAGTGTAACAGTACCTTACCTAACGTGCCCGGTCTGCAGCCCAGACTCTCAATCTGATTCCTGATAAGGTGTTGTCTGAATTCTATCACAGGACAAGGGGTCTTTAAATTCTAAAAACTGCTGACATATTCTTGTACATTTCATCAGACTGATTACTAACTAATAGATAGAATCTGTTTTGGTTTGGTCCCTTCCTAGCACTGAAACTCTCTTCTGAACATGTTTCTGGTTTTTTCAAGCATCCGTTAGTGTTAGCTAACACTGCTCAATTGATGGACAGTGCCACTGGAAAATTAGTTATTCATAGCCTATTTTCCCTCTAGAATATAAGAACTAGGAGGGCAGCCCTATCTGTTTTACCCTTGTACTCCTTAGAGGCTCCAGCAAGGTTCCTGCTGTTATAGGCTCCAGGTAATGTCTGCTAAATGCATGAGATGATAAATGGATGAATGAATCAATATATCCGTCAGCCAGCTTTCCATGACCCCTGAGATCAGCAGGTACTTGCCATGCGAAATTGCAGTGGAGGAAACCTGACCAATGCGGTAACTACACTAATTTTATATACCGAGGGAAAGGGAGAGGTAAGAAGAGGTGAGTAGACTTTTAGGTAGGTAGTCAATAAAATATGGGAGCAAATTCCTAATAATGTGATGAAATTGCTTTTGCTTGGCACACTTCTTCCGCAAGGGCCAGCCAGATAGGAAGTGCTGTCAGCCCTGCAGGGAATAGGGACTCTCACAGTTACTCAGCTTTTCTGTAGTAGCCCCAACGTAGTCACAGATAATTTGTAAATGAATGGGTGTGGCCCTGTTCCAATACAACCTTATATATGGACACTGAAATTTGAATTTCATGTAATTTAATCTTCTTTTGATTCCCACCCCCAACTATTCAAAATGCAAAAAACTTTCCTAGCTCATGGGATTTGGTCCATGGTCTGTAATTGTCAACCCCTGCTTTTGATAAGCACTACTTCGACACTCCAACAACTCCCTCAAGCTTTGAAAAAACCAAACACTTCAGAATTAGGCTGTCCCTTCTTTCATCAAAGCAGACCCTCAAGCAAAAATATTATCTGGAATATCACAGGTATCTATCACACAGTAACTTCTGGCAGGATGATCTTGGGTTCTTACCACAAGCTGAAAAGTCTACCTTCAGTTTGATTTACAGCTGAAGGATGAAGGGAACTCTATAAATAAATGAAATCCACAAATAATCAAAGGATCCTCTCATCAGTCTGTACCACTATTCAGGCCACACCCACCAAAAAAAGCAACATTAAAGCTGCCAGGAGATAATCATTTCACTTATTAACGGTTTACCTCTCCTTTTTTTTCCTCCTGTTGGCTCTTTGTGGAGAACGAGGAATAAAGAAATAAATAATCAGGTCCTAAGTAAGTAACAGGAGCCCCACATTCAGATTTGTAGTCTGTAATGTCTACCTGAACAAACCTGTGCCAACAACTCTAGTAGATAATTTATACTAGCTAATCTTTAAGAATTTAATTTTATCAATTAAATAAACAAATGCAGAAACCTGTATCACTTTATAAACCCCACCACAAATATGTGTGAATTCAGGCTGAATTCAGTTTTTCAAGGGCTCACTATTATACTTCAATATAAGTGAACTTTGGGGGTGAGATAAATATATTACTTTTCTCCTTTCCAATAAACATGCTAAATTTAAAGATGTTTCCAAAGACTTACATAAAAATCTTGGGATTTTATGATGTGCCCTTTGCCTGTGTAAATATTTTACTCTTTTACTAGGTTCATATCTATTGTCAGAATAGACAAATATTAACTAGCTGAAGAAAATAACTTTTGAGACAATCTTACTTTAAAAATTATAATGCCATATAAGATGATAACTAATTTTTTAGAAGTCCTTTGTATCATGAAAAGTCACAACAAAAAGTTTAAGTGTGTTTTGGCTGATTTTTCTCTGCAACTGTTTGAAGCCGTAAATGACTTAACTCAGTAAAATTCCAAATGTAATTATCTTCTGTACTTAGCCCAGGGCTCTCCATATATCTCAGCATTGCTGTCTTGCATATAAAACAGCCTTTCCGATGGCTGGTAACAATATAATGTACAACATTGTTTTAATTTCCCCCAGTCGGCTAACCTCTTGCCTGCACTAAGCAGCCAGAGAAGAAGCCACAGTGAGTCATCAAGCACTCAAATGCGTTTGGAACTCAGTTGCATAAATGGGGTTTGCAAGGTCAGGCTTTTGCAATTGTACATTTTAATAATCTCCATTTCTGACCCAATTTTTACTTTTAGCAACTAATTTTCTATTAATTATACCAAGAATGGCATTATTGTTAAAATATGGTAGTTCATAAACAAGTTATATCGGAAGCAGAACACACATTAACAATGCCCCCCACCCCTGTTCCTTAAAACTGGGATCCACAGGAAAACTGGCAGAAGTTTCTTTTCTCTAGTCATAAAATACATTCGATATGATCCAATGGGTTTCCAAGTACAAGATTTTATATGGGTGTGTATGTCCGTGTGTGTGTTTAAAACGTGTGCCGTGAGCTCCCGGTCGTTCTGCTGGGGGAGAATGGGGACAAAGACAGGCGAGGTTGAAACATTGTTTCTGTTTTACTCTGGAATTTAACTCTGGAAGACGTGCCCGCATGTGCACTCACTCGCCAAGTCATGCCCACATTCACTAGCTCGCCTTCTCTTACTCTTCCCGGCTTGTTTCCCCAACTCCAGGTTAATAATATTAGCACCTTAGGGGACTTAAACTAACAGTAGATAAGCAGAGAGTTAAAGGAGAAGAGAGAAGGGAGGGAGGGAGGGAGAGATGGGGCACTGAAAGGGGTGAGAATTGGCCGCATGAACACAGACGCACAGAACTCCAAAGAGTGAACTGAGGCTGAACTTCCCAAAGAAAGAAAGATCAAATCAAATCACATACAACAAGTTTTGGACCTCCCATTCAATAATGAGTACACAGGAACTCAATGCAGAATACTGGAGAAATTTGGAGTGTGAGGAACACTGAGGTAATATGAAAAGGAAATCAGGTTTAC